GGGAGGAAGGAGGGTAGGAAGGAAGGAGGGGAGGGAGGGAAGGAAAGGAGATAGGAAAGGAGGGAGGGAAGAAGGGGAGGAGGAAGGGAAGGAGAGAGGAGGGGAAGGAAGAAAGAGGAAGGAGGGAGAGAGGGAGGGAGGGAAGGAGGGAGGGAGGGAAGGAGGGAGAACTGAAAACCAGTGGCTCACCTCCTGGCTCAGAGGACTTGATAAGAAGTGTCCAGCTGGTCAGGTTGTACAAGAAAGCTGATAAGAGCTGGTGTCCAGCCCAACTCTTGCTTGTCAGGTTTCTAAATGCGGAGGGACCTGAACCATCTTCTCGTCGGCACACTCCTGTGGAGTAGGAGAGGCTGCTGGGGAAGCTCCCACAGGTAAGGACTATAGAAAATAAACTGTAGCAGTTGATTTTCAAGCCAGGGGCCCAGAAGGCAGGTTCTACCCCATTCATCCTGATCCTGACCCATCTGGGTGGGCCTAGCAGCAGGAGTCACCAGCTTCTATCTGGGAGTGGGGAAGGCTCTTGCCTCTTCCTGACCCCAAACAATATAAGTTGGCTTCCAATTCAGCCTGAGTGGCCTAACACTTGCTCAGCATTTAATAGAGACTGTAGGCCCACACATGCACATAGACATACTCCATATCTTAAATTTGGCACAGTCTGAGAAGTACACCCCATACCTATGGTGTCTGCATGTATTCAATCAGGTGTTCCTAGTATTTCAAGGGTGTCATTTGAGTTTTTTGTTTATTTACTTATTTATTTACTGTTACTATTTAATGAAATACATCATAATTATATAAAAATAATTATTTAAAGTTATTTATTTACTTATTTTGGTCTATTAAGGTAGGGTCTCATGTAGCTCAGGCTAGATCAAACTCACTATGAACAAAGCTAAGGATAACACTGAACTCCGGCCCCTCCTACCTTCACCTCCTGTGCTCTGCAATTCCTGGCCAGGACCTCCAGGCCCCTCTGCCAGGCTCACTGTGACTTGAAGAGCCCTCCAGCATACTGAGGCCTCACAGAAGCACTGTAAGTGTGCACCTGTCGAGCAGCAGCTGCACTGAGGCTGGGGGCTGCTTTGAGCCACAGTGAAAAGTTTAAAAATCCATACAGGGTGCTCCCCAACTCCAAGGTGAAGAACTCTGCTTGATCCCAAACACCAAAAATCTTTAAAACTTCCTCTTCCTCTTCCTCTCACCACTCAAATCCTGTATCCACTCCTCTCCTTTCCAGGGGAAGCAGGAGATGCCCAGGCCTCTGCCTTCTCAGACAGCCTTCTCCACCAAAAGATGCAGACAATTCATTTCCCACCATCATGGGCACAGTTTAGCCTTCAATTTTCCTGACTACCTCAGGATTAACTCAGTGAGACTTCCCTGGACCATTTAAGGGAGCACCACACTTCTTTCTATTCCCCAGAAATTGTAACCCGGACTTGGTTTTGTGATGCTAATTGCCTTATCTTCATAAATTCTACAGTCTTACATTATTTACCCGCATTGTAGCAGGATTTCCCAAGAATAAAAAAGCAGGTGCCCCTCAATGATGATTTGAATAAGAAAAGACATGTTAAGTGGGCCCCCTCTCACTAGTAATAGAAGTTAATTAGCTTAGAGCAGCTTTGGAGGTTTTTGCTTTCTTTTCTTTTTTTTTTAAATGCTGTAACCTGTTGTCTTTTCTAATTGTATGGAAAGAAGGTTTGATTTGATCAGATTATTTGGTGATGGAGGGGTCTCTGTTTGGAGTCAAAGGTGCAGGAACAGTGGCAGCCAGAGGTTGGGAAGCCACCGGAGGCAGGGACACATTGAGAGCACAGGGCTTTGTAGTCAGATACACTGAGTTCTGAGCTACTGTGAGTTGCTTGTTAGTTCTGTGACCCTGGACAAATCCACATCTTTAAACATCAGCTTCCACACTGCTTGACAGAGGCCTGACCCTGTGGAGGAAGCCTGAAGCTAAGCACAGGCTCTGGAGTTGAAGATGGACTTGGACATTGGCTGGGGTCTGTCACTCCCTTGTTTTGTGACCTTTCCCAAAAAGGATACCTTTAATTTTGAAAAACATAGCATGTTATTTAAATGAAAGCAATGGGCTGTGGTGCTCATACCTGTAACCCTAGCACTAGCCTGGGGAAGCTGAGATGGGAGAATTGTGGTATATTGGAGGCTAGCCTGGGCTATTGAATAATCCCCCACCACACCCCCAAAAAGATCCATACCATCTGATTATCTGGTTTGGATTGGCTCATTTCACCCACACACAAATAACTTTTCAGCAAGGACTCCAGCTTCCTGGAGCCTCACCACTGTCTTGGAGCAGAATCTTCCTCTTCAGCCTGTCTGAGCTGGTCATTTGTCTTACCACTGGTACCTGAAGCTCACAGGGATTGTCTGATACCCCAATGTGCAGAGCTAGAATGGGGTCTGCTTCCCTTTCAGGCAGAACAAGCCAGAAGGGGAGGGCCCACATCTTGAACCTCAAAAGAGAAACAGAGAGAGCGAACTCAAAATGGTACCAGTCTTTAATCTCTCAAAGCTCACCTCCATCCCTGGATATCCTTCAATGAGGCAAGGCCTCCTAAGTCTCCCAAACAAGGTCACTAACCAGGGACCAGATATTTCTCATTTAAATATCATAC